TGACGATGATGATGATCATGGTGATGTTGATGATCATCATCAACAGACCATGATGACATCTGATTGAAAAAAATGAGGAAACATTTAGATAGCGTATAGTCTCAGCTACAACATACTAAAAAATCGACAAAAATCGAGCTGAAATAATGGCGATATTGCTCGCAAAAGACATGAACGTAGAATCCGGTTGAGAAAAAGTCATCTCCCATAAGGATTACACGCAAAAAGTTATAGATCAAGTGATAATAGGGTAATAATAAAGTAAATATAGTTGTTTATTACATTATTTGCGATTATATGTGTTTTAATATTCAAAGGAGATGGTAGAGTGAAAGGTCAAAAAGAAAAAAAAGTGAAGAAAAAAAATTGTTGGAGACGCCCAGACTCGAACCAGGGACCTCGAGGTACCGGAAGTCAAGGGCGTTACCGATATACCAAAACATTTCCGATAGAGATTACACGTAAACGGAAAATGGAATTATCAAATCCCACTTTGCAACTGAGATATGAGCATGATCCCGGCATCTGATCGAGAAATAAAGGGAACACTTGTGATAGCTCAATGTCTCAGCTACGACATACTCAAAGCTCAGTGAAAACAAAGCTAAAACGACGGAGATATTGCTCGCAAAAGACAGGATGTAGAATCCAGTTTTGAGAAAAAGTCATGTCCCTTAGAGAATACACGCTAAATGTGAAAAATTGACATGCCACCTTTAATCGCAAAAAAAAGACATGATACCTTTGTCAAAATGAAATATTGTGGTCATTGCATTTGTAGAAAATTGTCTCAGCTAGAACATATCAAAATTTGAAAGAAAATCAGTCAACATTTACAGAGATACAATCAATTTTCCAAGAATATGCTGACGTCATAATATGTAAATTGAAATTTTGAGTTCGGAGGCCATTATGATGACGTCATGAGTTAATTGGGGGTCAAATGAGACATGAAATCATTTTTTCGATTCATACGCTATCCAAAAAAAATAAAATAAAAAATGGAGGTCACCTTGCATTCTAAAGAGATACAGTGGATTTTGTATAGGCATGTTCTTGCCCATATATGTTATGTATTACAAGGGCTCGCACGCACGGACATGTATCTTAAACAGACGCTCATTCCGTTATTAAAGGTCAGAAAAAGTTTAACAAGGTATCAAAATGCTTAGAAAAATGTGCCAAATACGATGACAGAGAAAACTTGGCGATTTCATGTTGCCAAATGCAAGGACGCGCGAAAACGCGCCCCCATGCGCGTGTGCGCGTTTTTTGCAAAATGCTTTAAATGGCCTGAAACGTATGCAAAATGAATTTGAGACGATTTTGAGCATTTTTTTGTGCGCGCGCTCACGCGCAGACGTACGCACGCGCGCGCGTTTTCTAACCTGAAATTGACCGGACGGATATTGAACTTTATCATGATAAATATGAATGAGAAATGCCTTTCCGTTATGAAGATATGATCATGAGTAAAAAGTACAACAAATAACACAAAATGGCGCCTGGATGACGTCTTAAAGACAGATCACCTAATAAAGAATAACTAAAAATTCAAATCGTCATGGGGACGAATTACGTGGTCTGTCTTCAATTTGTATGATCATGCTCATCTTCAATTCAATTACCCAATAAATTGATGTTAATGTAAAATGATGTAATACGATATGGATTGATGAATGAAGTACTGATGAACTGATGAACTGATAGATTGAACTGATGTGAAATGAACTGAATTGATGAGCTATTTAAACAGATAAACTGATTAACTAATCTAAACTGATGAGCTGAATTGATGAACGAAATATTAAGAAATTATCATGATGATGTAAAATGCTCATGATCAAATGTAATGCAATTAAATATCAACATAAATAGGCCTAATGAATATGACACAAATTATTGAGAAATGAACTACTTAATCATGATCATGATTGTCATGATGACGATAATGATAATCATGATGATGGAGATGATCATGTTGATAATGGTCATGATGATGATGATGATGATGTTGATGAGGATGATTATCATCATTATGATAATGGTGATGATCATGAGCGTGATTCTGACATCTTATCGGAAACATGAGGGATGATTTAGATATCATAGAGCCAGCTACAACATACTAAACGCTAGGAGAAAAATGTTAAATAACAACCGAGATACTGGTCAAAACACATTGTCTTGCAGATTCATGTTTTGAAAAAAGTGACCTCCTATAGACAAACACGCAAATATGGCAAATTATTAATTGTCGCTTTAATCAAATGACGTCATCTAAATGAAAATTAAATGCAATATTTTTAGTAGAAAATTATCTCAACTTCAACATATCAAAATCTGGAAGAAAATCGATGACCGATAAGCGAGATAATCTCAATTAAACCAAGACAAAAATGATGTCATCAACAAAATATTTTTTTTTTAGTTTAGATGCCGATATGATGAATTTGTTTCACTTTGTACGAGTCAAGGTGGTATGAAATCATATCTCCAACTCATGCTATTTCTAACCATGATATACAAAATGGGGGTCGATAGACTATCTGAAGAGCTATTTCGATTTTTAAAATGGTATTTTTTGGATCAAATTTGCATTATATTGCCCATAGCAGCACGCGGGGATTTTGAACTTTGACGCGCGCTCACGGCTTTATGAAAAGTCAAGAGTGACTGAAAGTCATGTAAATTGTCAATTACGGTAAGAGAAATCGAAATCATGTACAAAATTTTAATTTGACTATTTCCGCGCGCTGTGAGCGCGCACAACGCGCGCGAGTACACGTACGGACGGACAATTTTGAAATGCCTCAAAATGACCTGATTCGTACTCTCGTTTAATAGTTAAGTGATATGAGCAATTTTAAATTTTGACACACGCGTTTGCGCGCGTCATGACCTTTGTTTGTCCTTTGATGACACGACCTGTTGACTCTTGACCTGGAGTATATGTGATATGAATATGAATGAACTTTAAGTACGCATCATGAAAATATGATAGATAATGTGATTTCAAAAAATGACGCCTGGATGACGTCCCGATAATTTGATGACCTTGAAAATGTTCCTGTCACGTCTCATGACAATGACCTATGACTGTGCCAAAATTGAACGAAATTGACAAAACTGATATTGAGTTATCCTGTCCACAAAAAAGTGAAGAAATAAATAAATAAAGAAAGAAAATTCTGATGAAAACAATAGGTGATCTGTCTACGACAGACCACCTAATAAATAAATAAAGAAAGAAAAACATATTCTGACGAAATCAATAGGTGATTTGTCTACGACGAACCACCCAATAAAAACTAGAATTTAATTCGTCACGAGGACGATTAAGGTGGTCTGTCTTCAAGTCTTATGATAGATTATAATATTTACTATATTGAGAAAGGGAGAAGTTATATAGACATGTAAACAATGATGATCATCGTGATGGTGATCATCATGATGATCTTGATAGTAATGGTGACGACGATGAAGACGATGATGACTATGATGATGTTGATGATCATCATCAACAGACCATGATGACATCTAATCGAAAAAAATGAGGGGACATTTAGATAGCTTCTAGTCTCAGCTCAACTACTCTAAAATCAACAAAAAACAAGCGGAAATAACGGCGATATTGCTCGCAAAAGACAGGAATGTAGAATCCAGATTTGAGAAAAAGTCATCTCCCATTGGGACTACACGCAAAAAGTAATGATCAAGTGATAATATGGTAATAATAAGGTAAATGTGGTTGTTTATTACATTATTTGAGATTTTACGTGTTTTAATATTCAAAGGAAATGGTAGAGTGAAAGGTCAAAAAGAAAAATAAATAAAAATAAAGAATAAATAAATAATAAAGAAAGAAAATTCTGACAAAAACAATAGGTAGTCTGTCAAAGACAGACCACCTAATAAAGAATAACTAAAAATTCAAATCGTCATGGGGACGAATTAGGTGGTCTGTCTTCAATTTGTATGATCATGCTCATAAAGGGTCAGTTTCTGTTTACTGACAGGTTTTATATTCAATATAAAATCAAATCGTGATTTTCTTTATCATAAACTGTTGTAAGAGATGCATTCACATAATAACATAATCTTTTAAGGGCATTTTCGAGCAGTAGCTCCGCCACTGATAGAATAGATATTTCTCTCGGACAATTATATTTCAACCTTTCTGAATTCTGAATTAATTGTGGGTTCTTATTATCCCCCTGATCGGTGAAAAGTGCAATCATGAAATTCACCTACACCATTGTGAACGGGCTTAATTCCACTCTCATGTACAATGCAAGGACGAAATAGTTTTAAATGCCGTTAGCGTTGTCATCAGTGGATACATACACGTTTTATGATTATGGAAAGTCCATACACAATTGTTTTTCTTTTTTTGCACGGTATACGGAATAGGAAACCAATATTTCCTACTGATTTTTCGGTTCAATTTCGCATTATATTGTACAGCGGAGCAAGCAATATTTAACTAATCACTCTCCTATTGCAGTGCCCATAACCCCCGAGCAGTCTTTTCTTTACTACCAAAGCTTGTGAAAGAGCTGTTCACATGGCAAGGTAAGTGCTAAACTGTTTCTGATGTTAACACTAAATTATAGGATTCAATAGAAAACTTGTTTGAAGCTTTGGGGACTCCACGGAAAAAAAAACACCTTTATTCACATACTTATTAAAGGTAGTCACATAGGTACATAATTACAACCTTCTAGAATAATTCAACAAGATACACGAGAATTCGATCAAGTGATTTGGATCCATTTGTACTTTGAGTTTTTTATGTTTATATGTCTAAATATAATTGTTGGGCAGAATAAATATGCCTAGTCGTGTATATTATCATCACTTAGTGGATATTCCTTGGATGAGATAGACTATTGTTACCAAAATTATAAAATGATCATTTCTTTCATGCCCGCGTCACACTGTCCCGAAGTTGACATAAGTTGGACACACGATGAAGGAAATTTGAACTTCGCACGAAGATGGCCCCGAACTTGGTCAACAGCCAACCAACAGCCGAAACGAGTATGATGCCTCCATAAGGTCACACGATGGCACCCGAACCACTCACGAAGGCCACACAATGGCTACGCGACGTCGTATTGAGAGTACGATGCGTTCCAACTAGGTCACGAAGACGTCACGTGACCTCCCAATGGCATAAAACCTTCGTCCGACGGTGGGAAATTCAATTGCTGATCGGAGATTAATGATGCGCATAGCAGAGGCGTCGGACCGACTTCCAAATTGGGGGACCGAACCAACTAAAAAGGGCACCTCTACATTGTGGTAACATTAACAGGGATGCTTTCAATATTTATTTTTCTTTGTCCATCATACAAGATATTATTAAAGCATTAAGGAAAAATGTTAAGATTTGTGAGGTCGCAGTGCAAAAACATACTTGTTCGAAATCCAATCCTGACGGGGTTATACTCACATTCTCATAACGAAAGACTGAAAAGACCTTTGATAAGTAACATAGTTATATCATCTATGAAATCAATTCGAGTGAGTGTAGCGAGCGAGCTTTGGGAGAAAATGCCCTAATAATCACTTTAAATTTGGGACACGTTTAAAAAGAGAAGAATAGGGACACTTAATATCGAAAAGGATAAAACACTTTTATTTCTTATACCTGAAAAGAAGCACTCACCAGGGATTAAAAAAGGCACTTATGAGAATGGTAAATGGGCATTTGTCGACGGAATTGGGGCACCCCTTCAGATTTTGATAGAGGCGTTCACAAGAGTTGAACATGGGCATTAATGAAAAGGGGATAGGCCCCAGTTAGATAGGACAAGGAGCCCGTATCATTGTTTAAAAGGAAATTGTCAGAGGTGTAAAGTGGCATTTATCGCCCCCGAAAAGAGAAAACAACTGTGATATTAATTCATGCATTTGTTTCCTCTAGGATTGATTGCTGTAATGCTCTATTGTTTGGTTTAGCTGAGAAAGATATAAGAAAATTGCAAATTGTCCAAAATAGTGTTGCAAGACTTGTTGAACGAGCAAGGGGGAGAGATCTAGTAACACCCATGTCAACTCGCCTTCATTAGTTACCTGTAAAAGAAAGAATTGTGTATAAAGTTCTTATGTTGTGTTACAAGGTAATAATTCTTAAATCCCCGACTTATCTTCATGATATCATTTGCTCTTACATACCCCGTAGAAATCTTCGCTCCTCAACAAAGAATCTCCTGACTGTCCCTACCACATCAACCGAAACATATGGTTCTCGTGCCTTTTCAACGGCAGCGCCTGTCTTGTGGAATCAGCTTTCTGACCAGCTTCGAGTTGTTGGAAGCATTGACGGCTTTGGAAGAGCCCTGAAAACCTATTTGTTTTCAAGGGTCTCCTAGAGTTGATTTGTCCGTTACTGGTTGGGAGGCAGATTCGACATGATGAGTGTCTGTCCGTTTGTTGAATTTGTTATATGTAATGTTAATTGATTTAATAGGTGTAATTATAGGTGCATTAATTGGTTTACTTTTTCATGAATATTTTTTGTCATTTGCTTATCTATTTTGTTATTTATTGTTGTATTAGTGTTGTTTATACATTCAAATTGTTATGATTGTACAAAACTGTAAAGCGCATAGAGAAATTTACAATTTATTATGCGCAACACAAATATACTCTATTATTATTATTATAACATGATATATTGAATCTGAAAAAAAAAATCAGTATAGATACGAAAAATACATAGCTTATTGCAACATATGTCCACCTTACCATGACACATGGGAAACGTTTGAGCTACTTAAATTTGGCTGTCTTCGCCGACACCGTGGTCCCATCTGGAAGTCATCGTACTATAATACGATGGCTACACGATGGCATTGCGAGGGTTTCACGTAGTCGTGTTGCCTTCCGAAGACATTCGGGCAGCTTCTTGTTTCCTTCGTAGTGTCTTCGTGAGGGGATAAGTGCTCGATGGCACCGATGATTAAACGAAGTAATTACGAAGATGACACGATTTGACAAAATGCCCTCACGATGACCTTACAAAGGGCAACATGGACACACGGATACAACACGAAAATGAACCTTTGCAAGGTCTTCGGGCAAATTTTTGGCACGCCAAAGATTTTGTCACCGCTCACGAAGTTGCTGCCGGAGCCTGAAAAATCCACCGGGGTTCATACAATTGCCTCAGATGCCCTCACGAACGGCCCGTTATGGCCCGATGTGTTTACGATCAGAGCCGAATTTGGAATTTTCCTTCATCGTGTGTCCATCTTGTGTCAACTTCGAGACAGTGTGACGCGGGCATTAGGTGGTGTATCCTGACGAAATACTGGTTAACGCCATCTACATCTTATTTTGGACAACCGTTCGTAAATGAATGGACTTGATTAACGGTAGTCAACGGCAGAAGTTCTCCGCACGTTTCGGTTTGGCGAATGTTGCACGCACGTTATGACCCGGTCACACTATGAAGTTTTAAAGAAACTTATAGCTAGCGTATGAAAAATCATGAAACAATGTGAAAATGTCGGCATACGCCCCCCCCCCCCCCCCCCCCCAAAAAAAAAAAAAAAAAAAACATCGAAAATTCTGCACCACGGGTAATTTGGGTGTATGCATAACATATTATAAACCTTCACTAACTTATGACAGCATATGACAGCGAATTACAGCGTATGACCAGCGCATATCCAGCGCTCCCGACCTATGCCCAACGGATGTTATCAATAAGTTAGATGTACAGTATACCTTCATGCCAATGTATGTCGACGTTTGACAATTTCGAGCATGCACAACAATTTATTTCGGCCTCTGCGTACAACAACGTACGCCAGCTTATACCATTGTGCTTTTAACGTATACAACTTATACCAAACCTACCGCTAACTTAATATGTAAACGTGCGATAGCGTGTTGGCGAAATTCACATATGTTGGCAAACGTTACTGGTATATGTTTGGTGTGACCGGGCCATCAAGGCTTGATGTATTAACACATACAAACAAGTCGAATTGCCTTTTGTCTTGTTTACTTTTTTTGTTATGTCTTCATTAAACTGAAGGACGATTCCCCATCGGAGTACTAACTCATGTTGACGAGGCGACGCCTGAACAGCTGGACAACATGTATGTCGTCACTAGAGCGGCGGGAATCATAGATACCTTTGAAGTTGCTAACATCACCGACAAAAACACCGAGTTAAGTCATGACCACCAACTAGCTCTCCTCACGCTGATGAGGCTTTGTATCAAGCAGGGTGATCGGATATTCAAGTTGAGAGAGGAGATTGAGATAGAAGAAAGAGAAGAAAGAGCAATTACAGAAGAAAATGAGAGAAAGTCAAAACTAGAAGAGGAGGAAAAGAGGTCACTGAAAGTAGAGAAAGAGAGATTGGAAAAAGAAGCGGAAAAGGCTAAAAAGATGCGAGACGAGGAAGAAGCAAACAAAGAAATGAAGGCAGAAAGCGAAAAAGAAAAATGGGAAGAAGAAAAAGCAAAAATTATGCGAGAAGTGGAAGAAGCAAGAATGGCGGTAACAAGAGAAAAGAAGAGATTTGAGAGAGAGCAGGAAAAGGATAAAATGAGGCGGGAAATAGAAGAAGCAAGAATGGAAATGGTGGCAGAAAGCAACAGAGAAAAATGGGAAGAAGAAAAAGCTAGAATGAGGCGGGAATTAGAAAAAGCGAGAAAAGCGGTGATATCAGAGAAGGAGAGAGTCAAGAGAGAATTTGAAATGGCTAGAATAAGGCGGGAAATAGAAAAAGCAAACATGGAAATGGAGGCAGAAAGCGAAAAAGAAAAATGGGAAGAAGAAAAGGCTACATTGAGGCGGGAAATAGAAAAAGCAAGAATGGCGATGAAAGCAGAGAAAGAGAGAGCTGACAGAGAAGTAGAAAAGGCTAGAATGAGGCGGGAAATAGAAGAGGAAATGAAAGCAGAATTAGAGAAGGAGAAAGCGGACTTGATCCGAATAAATAAAGAAGCAAGGATTGTCAAAGGAGTAGAACAAAACGCTGAAATGGCAAAAAAAAAAATGCAGGACCATATTAAGATTGCAAAAGAAGAAGAAATAGAAGTTGAAAAGGCTAGAATGAGGCGGGAAATAGAAGAAGCAAACATGGAAATGAAGGCAGAAAGCGAAAAAGAAAAGTGGGAAGAAGAAAAGGCTACATTGAGGCGGGAAATAGAAAAAGCAAGAATGGCGATGAAAGCAGAGAAAGAGAGAGCTGACAGAGAAATAGAAAAAGCTAGAATGAGGCGGGAAATAGAAGAGGAAATGAAAGCAGAATTAGAAAAGGAGAAAGCGAACTTGATCCGAAAAAATAAAGAAGCAAGGATAGTCAAAGGAGTAGAACATAACGCTGAAATGGCTAAAGAGAAGATGCAGGACCATATTAAGATTACAAAAGAAGAAGAAAAGAGGAAGGCGGAGGAAAAAGAAGTTAAGGAGGCAGAAAGTGAAAAGGTTAAAATGCGGCGTGAAATAGAAGAAGCGATGAGAGCAGGACTAGAGAAAGAGAAATTAAAGATTTTCTTGAAAAGTGAAGAATCAAGAGTGGCCTAAAGCGAGATTGAAAATAAACGATCTTAAATTAAAGGTTCGAATAAGGTCACATATATTGTTTAGAAAATGACCCCCCAAAAATAACATTTTTGGGGGGGTCATTGGTATTGGTAAATCGATAATGATAAATCAAAATCGATTTTAGCAACTGTCCACCAAAAAAAGTATATTCTAATCATTACATCCTAGATATGCTTATTACTCGATATTTTGTTCATTTTCGAAATTATAACATACATATTGTATTTTGACACAGTTTATCTCGGCAGCATTCCCCATTAAACAAAATTTCGTTTAAATTTGCTATGTCCCATTTGCAGGCCAAACAAATGAAAGGTTAATTCCAATGGCATTTGAAAGGAATTACTAATTTAGAACTTTCCTCAAAACGAAAATTTCAAATCACTTAAGTAATAATCTGATTTGTAGACCCTTTTTACATGTACGTTTTGTGCTGCACAAAGATTCAATCAGTTTAATTTTGGCCATTACAAGTAGTGGGTTATTGATGTAGACAAACGCTCATGTACCTGTTTTTTACCTGTTACAGTTCAAGTATGTTATTACCATAGAAAAGAAAGATGTCAGTCAGTCACTTAATGGTGTCTGACAGTAAACTCTAGAAAGTAAACAGGTTTCCTTGCATAATGTGAATATTAGGACACTGCCAACGTTAAATATCACAGATAGGACAAACATGACATATTCATGATTCCTGCACAGTTCTATAGAATGTAATGTTGGGTGCAAAAGGGACATAGTATTTTTACGACGAATAATTTTGAGAAAGCAATACAAAAAAACTATATATTGTGAAACACATGCATTCCATCGAACATTCCGAACATAAAGTTATTAAAGATAATTTTGTTTTCCAAATTTATTCATCTAAAGGGCAAGTATGCATCCCTCTTGCAATTCAAAACGTTTTCTGAATTCGCGCAACATGTCAATGTCATTTCAAAGATGAATACAAAGGGCATTTAATGATTTATGATGTGTTTCACTGTATGAGGTATCTTGATTGTAAAAGGGGGTTTATGCTTTGAAAGCCTTCTTTAATACATTAAACCACCAAGTTGAAATTTTATTTCTCCCCTTATGGTGGAAAAAAAAAGTACTGTAAAAATTATCTAACCTATTTGTAAAATATCCAATACTCTCATTCAGGCGCAACGTTGCTTTGCATTGTTCCATCAGAAGGTATTAAGTAATCTTTATAATAAGTTGTGCAACATTTCTCTACAATTCATCATCTCTCCTTATTCCTTGTGTGCGTGTGCGTGTGTGTGTGTGTGTGTACTAGTTATAAAGTATTTTTTGTACTATACATTAGCCAATGTGAAATGTTTGGGTTTAATAAACTTGCCTGTCACGTTTATGACAGTGATTTTTTTTGATTTTTTTTAAGAAGAACAAAATGTTTATACATAAATACATATTCTGTTTGTTTATTTAGTTTTAAAGAAATGATACAAAAATTGAGAAGATTATTGACGTTTACCAAGAGTTAATATCACACACATTTTGTCTGATAATTTATGACATAATCGTAGTGTATATGAAATATAAAGTGAAGCCTCGGGTTTCTCATCGCTGTTGGGTATGTGGAAGGCGAGGTTTGATTTGTGGGCAACTTCGTCTCCATAATGCCTTACATGATGAATATTGGAGATGAAGTGACAACATTGAGAGAAAATGTGGATTTTTCAGACTAATGTTCTTTTTTTGCCAGAGGTTGTGCATTAATTGTCCTAAACAAAGCAATAACAATATTTTAATAAGATTGTCGTGCCAAGGGCTGTTGGTTTCCGTTCCTTTTTTTTTTTATAAGCTTTGCCACTTGTGGAATAGAGGGTATAAGTATGTGTAGGAGTGAGGTTTCCAAAATATTTCAATGGTGCCAGGTGGCGTTGTTTATTGAGGGGGCTAAAATGCTTGGGGACCGGTCCGGATACATTCCCTGTTGTTATTTCGAATAGGCAGTAGTCCTTCATCATTTGTTCATCATTTTGCGATGCATGATATGCAAATTATATAACTTGGTATTTTTTTTAATGGTAGCAAGATTTGTATTACGACCCTAGGCCTGCATGCCTGAAGTGAGAAGAAACGTTTTCTTCAAAGCATGCTTAAACAGTATTTTATTGACTATTTCATTATTTTATAACGCAAGTCTATGTAAATTCAAGTACTTTGTTGTAACGCCTTTTTATGCAAAACATAATATCTGGGTAACGACGGCTCTTGGTATTACAATGAGCTTTATTGCAAGGTACTTCCCTTAAACCTTTTGTAAACATAGCATCATACATTCAAATGCAATGCCACGTCTGAATTAAAAAGGTTCTCGGAATGGCGGTAATGGTTTTAATTCGCCCTTTCTTTTAGGGTATGCAATTATGATTGGTGAGAGGGTCTGTCCGTTCATCATTTGTAACTCATGATAAGCAAAGTATATAACTTGGTATTATAATGGAATAAAATGGCAACAGGATTGTATTACAATTCTAATCACGCCTTAAGTGAGAAGAGACATTTCCTTCACGAGGTGCTTATACAATATATCGACTATTTCATTTTTTTTAAAACACAGTCTATGTAAATTCAAATAGTTTGGTAGATGATTGGATACTCTTTTGAAAGTCCGCTTTCTTTCACGATGTCTATTGCAACGCCTTTATACGATGCCATAGTATCTGGGTAACGACGGCTTTTTTATATTACGATGAGCTTTATTTCGATAACGCAATCTATGTAAATTCAAATATCTTAGTAAATGACTGATACATATTTAAAACTTTTTTTAAGCCAGGTGGTGGTGTGATGTTTTGAGAGGGAGGAACGTGTGGGGATCCGGTATGCATTATTGCCTATCATTGGCCCGTATTCACGACAAACCTCCTTTTGTTCTTTACAAACCAGGTTTTTAAAAAACGCGTAAAAACGCGTCATACGACGTACATAAACAAGGTTTGTCGACAAACCTCCTTTGTGAATTCGGGCCATTATGTCGGGCTGACGTTTGGTGTTCTTTCGAGTTGTCGGAAACGCCCTTTAGGAGTTGTTTAGGGAGTGCATACAAATTGGGATCAGGTGCGTGTGTCGGTCTATTCATTCATTGGTGAGGCATATTATGCAAATTATAGAACTTGGTCAATGATAGCAACTCTTTATTACAATGTCAAGGCACGCCTTGAAGAGAGAAGAGACTTTTCTCCCACGTGGTCTTTTCTTTGACCGATGTAAATCCATATATTTCAGGTAAATTGGATTTTGCAGAATCAAATGCAAATCAGATCAGATATGGAGCGACAAGGCTCTTTTCAGAGGCATATGCATATAGTTAATACTTGTATACAAATTCTATCTCAGTAAACTACATCATGGTCTGTCATACTTTTATACATTTATTTATGAAGTGAAGACAGCCTTTTCTCTCACGAGATCAATGTTTGTCGAGTATTGACCGTTTTGCTCCCCCAACTAAAGCTTTTGCATGTGAGGCCTGGTGGCGGAGTATTATTTAGTGAGGGGTTGGCAGTATTCGGGGTCTCAAGGCATTTTTTAAGGAATAAAAACTCTTTGTAATATATTTCTTTAAATAAATTGTGGTTATTTAACAAGGCAACGTATTTATCATCGACTTGTGAGAGAAGAAATGTTTATAATTGAGATTAGGAGTTCTGTCATTGATCTAGTTAATTGACAGGGAAATGGGGAGTCTCTTGCTCTCGGATGTAAACGTATATGTATACTAAAGAGCAGATTTGGGTTTTTTGTGTGGGGGTGTTGTGTGTGTAGTGAATATGCTTGTGTGTATAAATGCGGTGGTTTGTGTGGTACGGGGTTGAATCTGCCTACATTTTGTTAATATAATTCGACGATAAGTATGATGTATGTTTGGCTGCAGATAGTTTTTTCTATACATTTGTTCACGGGGGAAACAGATTATGTGGAAGCTTCTTTAGAGTTTATGGATGTAAGGTGATGGATACAATTACCCATAAAATAACATGGCAGTGAAATTGTTAAATGTTAGACGAATAAGAGATAGGTTAAAAAGAGTGAATATTTTTGAATGGTGCAAAAGTAAAAAGAATATTATAATTTTCTTATAAGAAACATGTAGTACAGTAGAGATAGGAGAGCGGTGGAAACAAGATTGGGGAGGGCCAATGTTTTTTAGTCATGGGTCAAACTATAGTAGAGGGGTTCTTATTTTATTTTCTAATCATTTAGATTTTGAAGAAAACAAGATTGAAGTAGATGAAGAGGGGAGATACATTATTTTTAAAGGTGAAATTCAAAGGGTTAAAATGCTAATGGGTAATGTTTATTTTACAACGAGGGATAAGAAACTTTACTAATTGAATTTTTGAAGAAGTTAGATGAAAGTATTTTTGATCAGTGTGATCGGGACTATTTAGTTTTAATAGGAGGTGATTTCAATAGTATATTGGATGGACAATTAGATTATGTGGGGTCAAAAACACCTACGAAATCTCGGGTTATGGATTTGATTAAGGAATTTTTAAATGAATACGATTTAAAATATATATGGAGAAAAAGATATCCGAATGTGAAGAAATTTACTTTTCGACAAAAGTGGCCGGTTGTGCAAAGTCGTTTAGATTATTGGTTTATACCTTGTAGTGTTGACAATTTGATGGATACGTGTGAGATTTTGACATCTATTGCGCCAGATCATTGTGGCGTTAGGCTATAATTTAATTATTTGGTTGATAAGTTTGTTTTGGGGATATCATATTGGAAATTTAATAGTAGTTTATGTATGGATAAAGATTTTGTTGAAGAGATAAATAAGGAAATACAGGAATTAAAAGCTGAATGGTCATTTCAGAATTTGAATAAATGAGTATTGTGGGATTTTTTAAAGACGAAAATGAGAGACTTCATTATAACATACTCGCGGAAAAAGGCAAAGTAAGGAGGGTTGAAATAGAACTGTTCGAGAGACAAATTAAGGATTTAGAAGGCGAACTGTTAGTGGGACCCACTAAATATATTGTTGATTGTATTGAGGAGAAAAGAGATTAATTAAATAAATTGTATGATTTTTCTCGACAGGGCATTAAAATAAGATCAAGAGCAGCTTGGTTTTAAGATTGAGGAAACAATACGCAATATTTCGAACAGTTGTTAAAATTGAATAAAAGAAAAGTGTAATTAGGGAGGTTTAAAAAAAAATGGGGAGACTACTAGAGACAAGGAGGAAATTAAACTATTTTATAACGATTTATATTCATTAAGGGCTAATATAAATAAGGAAATACAGGAATTAAAAGCTGAATGGTTGTTACAGAATTTGAATAAATGAGTATTGTGGGATTTTTTAAAGACGAAAATGAGAGACTTCATTATAACATACTCGCGGAAAAAGGCAAAGTAAGGAGGGTTGAAATAGAACTGTTTGAGAGACAAATTAAGGATTTAGAAGGCGAACTGTTAGTGTGACCCACTAAATATATTGTTGATTGTATTGAGGAGAAAAGAGATAAATTAAATAAATTGTATGATTTTTCTCGACAGGGCATTAAAATAAGATCAAGAGCAGCTTGGTTTTAAGATTGAGGAAACAATACGCAATATTTCGAACAGTTGTTAAAATTGAATAAAAGAAAAGTGCAATTAGGGAGGTTTATAAAGAAAATGGGGAGACTACTAGAGATAAGGAGGACATTAAACTATTTTATAAAGATTTATATTAATTAAGGGCTAATATAAATCTGAACGACCCTTTCTTTTGTAATGATATTTCAAAGTTAAATGAAGACAATAGGGAAATATGTAAAGGTAAATTAACTAAAGATGAATGTTTGAAAGTCCTAAAAGGAATGAAATTGAACTAGACATATAATACTTGTTTGGAACAAGTATAGGTGGGCTGGTAAACTAAAATTTGAAAACAAAATAGAGCAAAAATAAGCGAGAAACTGCTTTAAAATTATTAATAACAATATCATGTAGATTCATTACGTCAACGAAATTCACCTTCTATAGTCATAACACGCAAATTGTGAAATTTCTGACATGAGGCCTTTAATCGAAATTTTCACTCTGATGACATCATCAAAATGAAAAATGGTGTTTACTGAGCTTGTAGAGAATTGTCTCAGCTACATCATATCGAAATTTGGAAGAAAATCGATCAATATTTACAGAGATACAATCAATGTTACATAAATATGCTGACGTCATTATATGCAAATTCGTATTTTGAGTTCCAAGGCCATTATGATGATGTCACGATACACTTAATGGCCAAATGAGACATGGAATCATATTTCCGACTCATACTTTATCTAAATATGAAAAAACATTGAAGGTCACGGTTCATTCCAAAGAGCTATAACGGATTTCGTATAGGCATGTTTTTGCCCATATATGCTATGTAATAAAAGAGCTCGCGCGCACGGACATTTATCTTGAATTGACGCTCATCTTGTTATTAATGGTCATAAAGAGATAAACATGGTATCAAATTCCTCAAAAAAATATGAGAAATATCATGAAAGAAAAAAAAATGGCGATTATATGTTGTGTAATGATGTTACGCGCGAAAACGCACGCGCATGTGCGTGTGCGCGATTTTTTTTTATAAAATGCTTAAAATGACCTGAAACGTATGCAAAAAAAATTTGAGACGATTTTGAGCATTTAAAATTTTTGCGCGCGCACTGACGCGCGGACGTACGCGCACGCGCGCGTTTTTTGACCTGAAATTAACCGGACTGATATTGACCTTGATCATGATAAATATGAATGAGATAACCTTTTGGTTATGAAGATATGATCATGAGTTGATTTTCAGAAAATTTCACAAAATGGCGCCTAGATGACGTCATCAGTCAAGGTCAAGGTTGAAAACCTTACCATGTTTTGTCCATATGCCTATACATATGTGTGCCAAATATCAAAGCATTTTATTGAACCATTACAAAGTTATCTTGCTAACAAAAAAGTGGGTCAAAATAAGAAAAATAAATAAATAACTAGAAATTTAATTCGTCATGGGGACGAATTAGGTGGTCTGTCTTCAAGTCTTATGATAGATTATAATATTTATTATATTGAGAAAGGGAGGAGTTATATAGACATGTAAACAATGATGATCATCATGATGATCATGATGATGATGATCTTGATAGTAATGGGGATGACGATGATGATGATGATGATCATGATGATGTTGATGATTATCATCAACAGACCACGATGACATCAGACTGAAAAAAATGAGAGAACATTTAGATAGTATATAGTCTCAGCTACAACATACTTAAAAATCAACAGAAATCAAGCCGAAATAACGGCGATATTGCTCGCAAAAGACAAGAATGTAGAATCCAGATTTGAGAAAAAGTCATCTCCCATAAGGATTACACGCAAAAAGTAATGGATCTAGTGATAATAGGGTAATAATAAAGTAAATATGGTTGTTTATTACATTATTTGCGATTGTACGTGTTTTAATATTCAAAGGAGATGGTAGAGTGAATGGTCAAAAGAAAAAAAAGTGAAGAAAAAAAATTGTTGGAGACGCCCGGACTCGAACCAGGGACCTCGAGGTCGGAAGTCAAGTGCGTTACCGATATACCAAAACATTTCCCATAGAGATTACACGTAAACAGAAAATGGAATGCACAAATCCCACTTTGTAATTGAAATATGAGCATGATCCCGGCATCTGATCGAAAAATAAAGAGCACACTTGTGATAGCTTATTGTCTCAGCTACAACATACTCAAAGTTCAGCGTAAACAAAGCTAAAATGACGGAGATATTGCTCGCAAAAGACAGGATGTAGAATCCAGTTTTGAGAAAAAGTCATGTCCCATAGAGAATACACGCAAAATGTGAAAAATTGACATGCCTCCTTTAATCGCAAAAATACGCCATGATGCCTTTGTCAAAATGAAATATCGTGGTAACTGCATTTGTAGAGAATTGTCTCAGCTAGATCATATCAAATTTTGAAAGAAAATTGATCAATATTGACAGAGATACAGTCTATTTTCCAGAAATCTGCTGACGTCATAATATGCAAATTGAAATTTTGAGTTGGGAGGCCATTATGATGACGTCATGAGTTAATTGAGGGTCAAATGAGACATGAAATCATATTTCCAATTCACACTCTATCAAAATATGGAGAAAAAAATTGGGTTCAACTTGCATCCTAAAGCGCTACAATGGATTTTGTATAGGCATGTTTTTGCCCATGTATGCTATTCATTACGAGAGCTCGCACGCACGGACATTATCTTAAACGGACGCTCATTCCGTTATTACTGGTCAGAAAAAGGTGAACAAGGTATCAAAATGCTTGGAAAAATGTGTCAAACATGATGACAGAAAAAATTCAGCGATTCTATGTTGCAAAATATCAGTACGCGCGAAAACGCGCGCCCATCCGCGTGTGCGCGTTTTTTTTGCAAAATGCTTGAAATGGCCTGAAACGTATGCAAAATTAATTTAAGACGATTTGGAGCATTTTTATTTTTTTTGCGCGCGCGCTGACGCGCGGACGTACGCATGCGCGCGCGTTTTTTGACCTGAAATGGACCGGACGGATATTGACCTTAATCATGATGAATATGAGTGAGAAATGCCTTTCCGTTATGAAGATATGATCATGAGTAAAAAGTACCAAAAAAAAACACAAAATGGCGCCTGGATGACGTCATGAAAATTTGATGACCTTGAAAATGTTACTGTCACGTCTCATGACTATGGCCTATGACTGTGCCAAAATTGAAGGAAATTGATTGAACCGATCTTGAGTTATCCTGTGAACAAAAAAGTGTGAAGAAATAAATAAAAATAAAGAATAATAATAATAATAATAATAAATAAATAAATAAAGAAAGAAAATTCTGACGAAAACAATAGGTGATCTGTCGTTGACAGACCACCTAACTAGAAATTTAATTCGTCATGGGGACGAATTAGGTGGTCTGTCTTCAAGTCTTATGATAGATTATAATATTTATTATATTGAGAAAGGGAGGAGTTATATAGACATGTAAACAATGATGATCATCATGATGATCATGATGATGATGATCTTGATAGTAATGGGGATGACGATGATGATGATGATGATCATGATGATGTTGATGATTATCATCGACAGACCACGATGACATCAGACTGAAAAAAATGAGAGATTATTTAGATAGTATATAGTCTCAGCTACAACATACTCAAAAATCAACAAAAATCAAGCCGAAATGACGGCGATATTGCTCGCAAAAGACAAGAATGTAGAATCCAGATTTGAGAAAAAGTCATTTCCCATAAGGATTACACGCCAAAAGTAATGGATCGAGTGATAATAGGGTAATATTAAAGTAAATATGGTTGTTTATTACATTATTTGCGATTGTACGTGTTTTAATATTCAAAGGAGATGGTAGAGTGAAAGGACAAAAAGAAAAAAAAGTGAAGAAAAAAAATTGTTGGAGACGCCCGGACTCGAACCAGGGACCTCGAGGTCGGAAGTCAAGTGCGTTACCGATATACCAAAACATTTCCCATAGAGATTACACGTAAACTGAAAATTGAATTCTCAAATCCCACTTTGTAAGTGAAATATGAGCATGATCCCGGCATCTGATCGAGAGAAAAAGGCCACACTGGTGATAGCTTATTGTCTCAGCTACAACATACTCAAAGCTCAGCGTAAACAAAGATAAAACGACGGAGATATTGCTCGCGAAAGACGAGAATGTAGATCCAGTTTTGAGAAAAAGTCATGTCCCATAGAGAATACACGCAAAATGTGAAAAATTGACATGCCTCCATTAATTGCAAAAATATGCCATGATGCCTTTGTCAAAATGAAATATTGTGGTAACTACATTCGTAGAGAATATTCTCAGGTAGAACATATCAAAATTTAAAAGAAAATTGATCAATATTTACAGAGATACAATCAATTTTGCAAAAATCTGCTGACGTCATAATATGCAAATTGAAATTTTGAGTTCGGAGGCCATTATGATGACGTCAAGAGTTAATTGAGGGTCAAATGAGACATGAAATCATATCTCCAACTCATGCTTTTTCCAATCATGATATAAAAGTTGGGGGTCAATTGACTATCTGAAGAGCTATTTCGATTTTTAAAATGGAATTTTTTTGATCAAATTTGCATTATATTTCCCATAGCAGCACGCGCGGATTTTGAAGTTTGACGCGCGCTCACGGCCTTATGAAAGGTCAAGGGTGACTGAAAGTAATGTAAATTGTCATTTACGGTAAGAGGAATCTAAATCATGTAAAAAAAAATGAATATGAGCTTTTCCACGCGTTGTGAGCGCGCGCAACGCGCGCGGCGACCTGTACGGACGGAAAATTTTGAAATGCTTAAAATGACCTGATTCGTACTCTCGTTTAATAGTTAAGTGATTTTGAGCATTTTAAAATTTTGAGGCGCGCGTACGTGCGCGTCATGACCTTTATGTGACCTTTGATGACATGACTTGTTGACCCTTGACCTGAAGTATATGTGATATGAATATGAATGACTTTTGCTTATGCATCATGAAGATATGATGGATAACGTGATTTCACAAAATGTGCTTGTATGGTGGAAATAAAGAGATTTAACTAGTATGGGTAAAACACATTTGTTAAAAGCTAATGCGCTTTCAAAATTAAATTATATTTCATCTCTCGTTATTGTCCCTCATTGGGTATACAGATAAGTTGCAACAATTTCATTTGAATTCATAAGGAGGGGGAAAGAAGGAATTGAACGGGCAATAATGTATTAAGATTATGACTTTGGAGGATTAAAAATGATTAATTTTGAAATGTCTGTTAAAATACAGCGCATAATGTGGATAAAACGTCTTTTATATGGAGATAAAAATTTGGGATGGAAAATGTTTTTGGATCATTGCTTACAGTTTGTGGGTGGTAGATTTATTTTGTGTGTGATTTTTCGCTTTAGATATTCCACCATACTAGATGGAAATGTCGCAAGCATGGCAAGAGACAAATAATTTAAGATATTTGGAGGGTTATATTACTATCATTTTCATGGTGAAGTATGTTGCATTAATGTCAAGATCGGGGGGGGGGGTTGAGTACCAACTTTAGAAAAGATGAAAAAAAGCATTTTTAAGAATAGGGATGAGGAAAAGAAAATAGCAATTAGAATGGGAAAGTTGGGGTCACATTTCTTAAAGTGTGAGCAGCTTAAGATTAATTAAGATTTGTTTTCTTCTCCACCGTGAGCCTGTTAAAAGTGTAATTCTATTTTGCGGCCTGTATAATTTACTTATTTAGTATATTTTTCTTGAGTTGAGAATGTTAGCAGACATCCACTGAGTGAGTAGTGTGTGTGTGTGTGTGGGGGGTGGGGTGGATGAGTATATGTGTGGGTGGGCGGGGATGTTTCAGTAAAAATTACCTCCAGATTTGTTTATGTTTGTTTTTGTATGTATTGAATAACATTTACAATTGACATATATATTATGTTTAGTTACTTATACGTTTACTTTGTTGCTAAGTTATGTATACTGCAAATAAGTTTTTGTTTAATTATGTTTATGTAAAAGCATCAATATTGAACTCGTTTATTTTATTTAATTGTATGTTATGGTTTGTATTAAACATTTAAAGAAATAAAAAAAAAAATTGCTTTTAAAAAAAGGTATGGGTGTATGTTTATGCTTGTTTTTGTTTTTTTTCACATTATTTTGTATTACATAGCACCGGTCAGTGTTCATTGGATGCATTGAGGCGCTGCCTCGGCCAGCTCAAATCGGCTTAATCTGCTGAGCCCAATTTAGTCAGGTCAATATATGGTTTGGCCCCAACAAAAGTGCAACAAAAGGTTTTTCAACGGTTTCTAGTAATATTCGACCTCGGGAGTAACATACTAAAAGTAGACCAAAATCAAAGGTTCAGAAAGCTATTATTTTCCAAGATGGCCGCCGAAACCTAAAAATGGCTTATTTTCCATCATAGAGACACAATTTTGGTGTGTATACCATGGTTTAGGGGGTCAGAGAATCCATTGAGACAAGTTAAAATGGTTTGTGATGGTCCAGGAAGCGATTATTTTTTCTTTACCACTAACGCGTCACATCGTCTAATTTTATTCCGCAGAGCGACTTCGTCAGAAACCACTCTCGAAACCGTACGAACTGTCATCTGTATTCGATCCCACTCAATGCTCTCACTGAACTGTACTACTCTGTCTGTCTGTGTGTGTTGTGTGTGTTGTGTGTGTGAATGTGAGGAATGGGTATACTGTTAAATGTGTACGTGTGTTCTACGTGCTTTATGTTAGTGTCACGTGACACTGTCATGTGACTGTGTAAATGTTGTTCACTTCGTAGTGGGCTACTCAGAGGTCTG